TGTTCCACTTGAAAATTGATCATAATAACCATTAATTGTGTGTGTGTTTGTGTCTTTGTGCATGTGCTTTTGTGTGTTTGTGTGTGTGATAGACCTTGATTTCCTGCATGTGCATATCATGAAGGCAATTAATGATTTGGGCCTATATGTCTGTGAAAAGTTCCCATGGCTTTGCATCTCATATGTTGCCCTCTGATCTCAGTAAAATATGCACACACACACACACACACACACACACACACACTTGGGCGGCCAGATGCTCGTGTGTGTGTGTGTGTGTGTGTGTGTGTGAGACCCCTGACCCTGGTGTCTGGAGCACACAAAGGCTCTTAATAATTCTTCTGTGGTCATTTAGCATGATAAAGTCGCTCACACACACTCTGAGAGATCTGCATTTCACACACGTCTGTTTCCATATCATCTAGGAGACCCATTAGGTCATAGGTCACACACTTTCACACATGCATGCAGTTCAGACATGTAAATGTGTGTGATGTGATTGTGTGTCTGGGTCGTTGCAGCTGGAGGATGTGTGTGTCTGAATCCTCTCTCTCTCTCTCTCTCTTTTCTCACACTCTCTCTCACTCACTGCTTTTCATAACAAACCTGCAGCTGTCATAGTTTAAGACCTCGGAGACAAAATCTGAGCTCTGCACAGAAACGTTTGTGCTGGAAGGCTGTGAGATGGTCTGCTCTGCAAAGCTCTGCAACTTCTCTATCAATTTTATTATCACTAAGATCGATCAACGAAAGACACGTCCTGTTTGGACATATTTCAAATTGACTGAGAGGTAGAAACAGCTTTGAAATATCAATATGTAGGATATCTCCTGAATTAAGTCATAACAACAGAACGCAGAAAGATTTCAAGACCGATGCAGAGCTGGCTAAACACTGAAGCTTCCATGTCTGAAATGTGGCAACCTGCATGCACATTGACTATACGGAGGATGTAGCAGGGGTAGACAGCTCTCTACAATGTTTTGAATTTGGACTGCAGTACCTATTTTAGACCCTATGTGTCCGAGTTACATACTGCTCTTTTATCTCTAAATTCTCATCTGAGAAAAATACAGATTTGAATCAGACGTGACTTGTTTACGTCAATATAAATGTGAACGTGAGCTCAGCCGTGATTTGTACCCGAGTATGAGAAGTTACTACAGCTGCTACAGCTAGCTGTGAGGGGAGTTTTTGGAGCTTGGAGACCCCAACACATCGACTATACGGTGCGTTCCCTCAATACTATAGTTATTGGATGTGCTTCCTCCTTTGCAGTCTGCCAGGATACTTTTCTTACAGCTTTATTAACACGCTGCGTCGCACATGACGTAATGTGACGTCAGCTCAGCAGGCTGGCAGATAAGTACAACTTTGATTTAAAGTTCTCAATACTCACCAAGGTTTTTACCCTGGAAGATTTATGCTGCTGTTAATAATTCCACAGATGTTAGAAATGTAGAAGTTGTTTCAGGTTGGAACTAGTTCAAGTGTGTGTGTGTGTGTGTGTGTGTGAGTGTAGCAGTGGCCTCGGCTCGTTCGTCTCTTGTTGAACTTTGTGTAACTCGCTGCTCAACTTTTTAATTGAAAAAGAAGTTGTACTAAATGTCAACTGACACACACACACACACACACACACACACACACAAACACACTCGCTGACAGCTGCCTGGCCCATTAGCTCACACATCTCCATGGCGACCAGAGTTGACCTCCAGAATACTGATGAGGGTTCAGACGAGGTGCTGAGCTCCTCTGTGTACTCTGCTACAGTACTGTTACTACGAGGGTCGTCATGACACCGGTTTTAAACTTTGATAGGATTCTAGTAAAAATCAGAAAGTCCTAGACACTAATGTTGGCTAATTTATTGTTTGTATTGATCAAAAATCGCAAACTCCTGCAACACCGTCTAAATTTCACAAAAACATCTGCAACGTGTCTGTACTTGAATTGTTCATGGACTCATTCCTCCCCTATCTAATGTCGTATCAGAGCTGTGACATCACTGACCTGAAGTTTAACTGCAGCTGTGACTGCAACCATCACAGCTGCAGTGAGTGAGTGTGTGTGTGTGCGTGTGTGTGTGTGTGTGTGTGTGCGTGCATGCGTGTGTGTGTGTAGAGGGTGGGTGGTGATGGGAGGGTCAGTGAGTACTCCCACATTTCCGGTTGCCTAGCAACAATTAATGCACAGATTGGCTGTAACATCTGTCACGGTGATCGCTGCCAAATAACGCTGCTCGCTCTGATTTTGCTCTCTCTCTGTCTCCACTCGTCTCCATCCAACTTTAGAAAAACTTCCACATCGTCCTCCTCTTTTTATTCTGCTGCTGTGATTGAATACCTTCATAAAAATACTTCACATGATTTATATATCACTTAAAAATAAGTTTGACTTTATCTCTGACTTTGTAAACTCATAGTTCATCACGAGTTGTTAAAATATTTTTATTCTAAGTTTAGCCTTTTTGTCTTCATTTCTTTTATTTAATAAATAAGCATTCAGGACACATTTTCTTAATTCTCTGATTTTATTATCTTCTCTTTTTTATTTGTCATTTCTGAAACAAGTTGATTAACATCACAGACAGCATGAAATGAGGCTGGTGAACACACGGTCAGATTCTATCGCTTATCGGAGGAAGAAAACACTGAGGGTGATGAGCATTGAGATTTAAATGATAAAGTCATCACACAGTATGGGATTATAAAACAATAACCTTTCTGTTTGGGACTTCTTCAGAACACCATATTTCAGCCTGATGGTGTGGTTTTACTGGATGAAGCTGTTTCTCTTCTACCCTGCAGAGGGCGCTGTGTCCCATGAGAAACCAAGATTAACTGCAATTTATTATTTTCATACCCAAACCAGCACAAGTTTATTAAACTAAACAAATGTTCAGAGTTTGTTTAGGCTCAGGAAGATATCCTGTTTATGCCAAGGTCATTTTCCGCTTCAATTCTTTTTTGAATTTGAATTTATTTATTTAAAAGGGACAACGCAATTTAACATTGTTTCAATACAGAGCATGAAGCTGATGGGCTGCATAAAGAGTACATAGCTATTGCTAATTTCCAACTCTTGTCCCTAGTTTGATGCCACATGACATAAAACGATACAATATCTGAAAAGCCTGGCTCAGACTACAGGATATTCGTGCCCATTTTGATTAATTTCTCACTGATGTACCAGGATGTATATCTTACTTTGTTAGCTTGATGCGAACACCAACCTGGAAAATGCAAGTGGCTAACAGAATCAGCATTGCAATAAATTTAGCTTAGGAAACGTTCTATTTCCATTTTATTTATAAACTTTAAAATAAAAAATGCTGACTCATGCTATTCTGGTCCTGCTGCAGTCAATGCTCAGATCCTGTGACATTGCATGAGTCGCTCTTAGCTGTATGTCTTCCTGGGACGTCCCCCTTTGCTGCTTCCCTTTGGGTGGTGGCGTGAAATGCTTTTAAGGACGCATTTTTCCTTTGCCAATCGAGGCTCCTATCTCTTTAATGAAGAGGAACAAGTGAGCATGTGCAACTTATAATGAGAGTCAGTGGCGGCCTGGAGCACAATCGTACTTACTTTGCCCTTTTTTAAATTGGACATGTATGTTCAGAGATAAAACTAATTAAAAAGTCTTAGTAAGTGATGGTCTGTCTTTCCCATCGTGAGGAGTGGTTGTTTCAGTGGTCGAATCTCTACCATTAAGACAGTGTGAAGGAGTTTGCTTTCATTCTATAATGAATATATGTTCCCAATACTGGGTGTCTAGGACTGCTGTTTTTTGTTGCCGTGGTATCAAACAGGTATAGATATCAAATGGTTTAAAAACCATTCTGAAGTTTGAATTTCTTGCATCATGACAACTTTAACTTTGGGCAAAAATAATCTGTAGACCTTTGAGTATCTGAGTACAAACCCCCATCTGAGAACTGTAGATTGCGGATGTGGAAATGACAAACTCTTTATATAGTCCTCCATATTTCCCAGTGTAAATCTGCAAGAGGTCTAGTGTTTGTTTGTTAGAGTTACTGAGATCTCAAATCTAAGAGCCTCTTCATAAACAGAAGATAACGAACAAACAGAAAATCATCTCTGTGTGACGTTACAGACTGAGCTTTGCCAGAGACGTCATCCACATTAGACTTAATAAATACTATTTATGGAACAGGTGAAACAGTTTATACAGACAGAGACAACAAGGCACTACCTAGCAGACTGCTTGAAGCTCCCATATGTCATTCAAAGAGACCATTCTCCTGATGATATATGATATATTATAATATAATGTAAACAGGTCAGTCGTATAAAAATTCAGTCCATACAGTTGTCATAAAGAGAGAAATGAGCTATAGAGAGCAAAACTGTTTTTGTACCAGGCTGTAAACATTTTAATTTCTGCTGTAAAGTTGGAATTTTAACATGGGGCTCTATGGGGACTGACTCACTGCAGGAGACAGCCTCTAGTGGACACTGGAAAAAGTGCAGTTTTGTTTGCACTTCAGGATGAGCTTCGTTATTTATGTTAATATTCTTTTTTAAGTAACTAAAGTCAGTGTGTGTGTGTGTGTGTGTGTGTGTGTATGTGTATGTGTTGCTGCTTTGCTTCTTTGGTGGTGACCTCATTTTCAGCGACCTCAGAAGTCAAAAGTCACATCTGGCGCCCATAACTTCCTGAACACGAAGCTCTTTGATGAAGGACGATCTGTGTGTGTGTTTCTGTGTAGAGGTGTGTGTGTCTAAAGGCTCAAGTTGCCTAAAAAATTCCTCCTGCTCCTTTCCCCTCTCTCTCTCTCTCTCTCTCTCTGTTTCTCGCTTGCCCCCTCTCTTTGTGTGTGTGTGTGTGTGTGTGTGAGAGAGAGAGAGTCTTACAGGGAAAAATGCAATCAGATCAGCTGTATGTTAATTGGTTAGCATCACAGATAACATAACTCCTCTGCTGTGAGGTCCCTTTACACTGACTTGTCTTCTGTGTCTGTGTCCGTGTGTTTGCAGGACTCAGCGATGGCGAGGTCGACACTGCCGAGTGTCTTTACTACAACGTCAACTACGAGATCGAGAAGACCAACCAGAGCGGCGTGGAGCACTGCGAGGGAGAAAAGGATAAACGCTCGCACTGCTACGCCTCCTGGAGAAACAACTCGGGCTCCATTGAGCTGGTTAAGAAAGGATGCTGGCTGGACGACTTCAACTGCTACGACCGGTACACACACACACACACACACACACACACACACTAGGTCACGATACCAGGAGACAACTAGTAAAAATCCAAAAATATTGATACCTGTTTCAACACCTCAGCACCAAAAATGGAAGCACATTATTTAAACATCCTGTTTACAGCAGTAGGCATACATTTCCCATCATCCACTGCATCCCCAGCTCCCTCCCTTTCTCCCCAGTTTGACTGACAGGTGCTGTCTAAACACTGTCCATGTGTTTCTTATTTAGGTAAACGCAGACTTTATTGACGTTAAACTTTTGATTCTAAAAATGAAAAACTCAATGACGACATGAATCCATTATTTCATTTAGTCGGTTTTTCAGTGCTTACCAGGCTTTTCAGTTGTTATTCCGAGATAACCACACTCTTTTCCTTCCGATAAGAAGTTATTTTCAGTTGTTTTCATGTGATTTTGATAACTTGTATCATGGGAAAACCACTTTTGTTATCTCAACATAACGACATAAATGTGTGGAGAAGATGTAAAAACAACCAAAATGTACTTGTAATCATTGGAAAACGGATGAATAAAAATCGCCTCATCGAAAGGATTATAATTCTTCGGGGAAATTCACCTGTTTATTTTCCTTGTGGTATCCCAACATCATCAGTTTTTAGTTTCTTCTGAAACACATTTGCATTCAGACTCCTTTTGCTCTCGTCCAGAACATTTTTCTGTGATTATGAAACGGCTCTTCTTTATGGATCTGCAGCTTTGAAAGCGACCTGCAGCAGAGAGAAGAGCGGCTCTTTACATGATGCAACAGCTTCTGTTCTCCTCCATAATCACACTTTAAAGATCATACTGAGGCAGAGCAGAAAAGAGAAGAGAGGAAAAAATAATAAAACGTCTCATTTATAACACTTTTATGCTCACAGCTTTTCCCCGGACGCGACTGATCTGCAGCAAGTTTCACATTTTCCCCGAGGCCTTAAAAAAAAAAAAAAATTCTATTTGGGTCAAGTACAACTGCTGCCAGACTACTGTGGTAATACTCAGCATTCCCCAGACACTGTTTGATTGACAGGTCTGCTGTTTGGCTCCCTCGGCTATTTAGACTACACCGGTGACTGACAGAGTGGAGCATCGCTCAGCGTAACAGATCTCTGCAGCCGTCTACAGAGAAAACTTCATTCTGTCAGAGTACAGGAGAACAAAGAAGAACTACAGTCACCAGTACAGTCACGGGGACATGTTCTGTTGATAACGTCGAGTGGTAGTTTGAGTGAATCTGAAACAGCTAGTAACAAATGTGACTCGAGTAGTGAGATGAAGTAGCTCTGGTAGTTGAAGTTGTGCAGTGTAAGGCAGGGGCGTCTCCAGGATTTCTGGGCCCCTTGAACAGATGTCACATCGGGCCCCTCCACCACAGCCTCAGCTAACCCTATGATATTACTACAACACACCTCCATACACATATGACTTTTCAATACCACATACCGCAAAAGATCCAATCTCTGTTATTTTAGTGATCAAAACCATCGAAAAGTTCTGAAGCTGTAAAAAAAACAACAACTGGTTCCTGAAGAGAAGAATGAGTCCATCAAAAATTGCAGGCAAACTGCTGGACGCTGTCGAAATAGCACAAATACGTTGGCACCGTTACGCTAGGGCTTCATTATAAAACATCTGTACAAAACTCTGTTACAAAACTTAAAACATCTATTTCATATTCATTCATATTTGTCGGAGCTTTTCTAATAACAGTAGTAGTTTTGGTAGTAGTAGCAGTAGTTGTATTTCAGCAGGGAACATCATTCTGGTCTCACATCTTTCTCACACAGACCTTTTCCATCAGTTTGGGTTCATATGAGGGGAGGGGAGGCCTTGGTATCCCAGAAGGCTTTGCTCTGTAGTTGCCGAGATTAGTGTGCACTCACTTTGTTCTGTTCCTGGACGATCTGAGAGGAGGGGAGGAGGATAGGAAGGAGGAGAGGAGGATAGGAAGGAGGAGAGGAGGATGGGAAGGAGGAGAGGAGGATTGGAAGGAGGAAAGAAGGATAGGAAGGAGGAGATGAGGATGGGAAGGAGAAGATGATGGGAAGTAGGAGAGGAGGATGGAAAGGAGGAGAGGATGATGGGAAGGAGGAGATGAGAATGGGAAGGAGGAGAGGTTAGGGAAGTAGGAGAGGAGGATTGGTCGGAGGAGTGGATGATGGGAAGGATGAGATGTGGATGGGGAAGGAGGAGAGGAGGATGGAAGTAAGAGACGAGGATGAGTAAAGGTGCAGGGACAAACCTGCAAAGAAAGAAAGGAGGAATGAACACAGGAGCTGAAATTCAGGATGGAGGTTAAAACAGATAAAAAGTGTAGTTTGGTCTGACAGAGGGAGGGCGGATGTTTCTGGGCTGAAAGCAGCCTGAAGGTGTAGAGACTGAAGGAGTTTCACATGCTGTTGAGATAAATGAGTCTCTGTGCTGATGTGAAGCCTCTGGTGTGTGATGATGAACAGTCTGACACAATCCAATCACAAATCTCTCGCTCTGTCTTCTCTCTGCAAGGATAAACATACTAGCTTTATTTAGTGATTCACTTCTTTTATACATACAAAATATTCTAATGTCTCTACAAATGAATATCTTATTTGGTTGCACAGTGTTTCATACACACAGGGTGCGATCGTTTTTCCCCACACGGTTTTATTCTGCTTTATTCTTGTTGTCTTGTAACATAAATTATTATCTTGGTTGTACAAAAATCTGATCTTGTGTTGACAAAATAAGTTATGAAATGATCTTTCTTATTTTAACTTATTGAAGAGTTCATTTGCATGAACAGATAACACCCATTCTGGGAAAGAATACCTGAGTGTTGTAATTTACACTTTAAATTACTTTAAATGATCGTTTTGAAAAGATGATCGTTGATGACATTTTAAAAAGATGATCTTGTAAACATGTTCATGAGAAGTTTCCTTTTACTGTACAAGTTACAATCATTCAGTACTCTGTTGTAATTCACTGAACTGTTCAGAGTGAAACCTCTTCACAGTTATTGGTTTTATTTTTAAAAAACATTTAGTGGACACATTTATTGTACTTTTGAAACATTAAGTTGACGCGCTCGTTGTCCCCAGATTATGAACACTAACCTGTTGTGCTTAGAATATTTTCAGCTGATGTTGACTTTGTGTGTCTCCGTCTCTCAGGCAGGAGTGTGTGGCCACAGAGGAGAGTCCTCAGGTCTTCTTCTGTTGCTGTGAAGGAAACTTTTGCAACGAGAGGTTCACACACCTGCCGGACGCCACCGGTCCACGTGAGTCCGCATTATGATTGGACAGTGAAGAGTCCCGTCTTTTGTACTATTAAGTGAAGCTCTGTGCATGTGATGGAGGGTCTTTACATTTAAATGACAATGTCTGATTTTGTGCTTTTTTCTGGTGTGTGTGTGTGTGTTTCAGTGATTAAAGCCCCGCCCAGCGTTGGCGTGCTAAGTGTGATGGTGTACTGCCTGCTTCCTGTTACCATGCTGTCAGTTGTTTTGCTCACTGCTGTATGGATGTACCGCCACCGGAAACCTCCCTATGGACATGTAGACATCACTGAGGTACACAGACACACACACACACACACACACACACACACACACACACACACACACACACACACACACACACACACACACACACACACACACACACACACACACACACACACACACACACACACATAAGGCTAAGACTTAAATGTTGGTGTAAAAAAAGAAAAAGTTACCCACATATTCATTGTATCTGCCATTGTATCACTGAAGATGATGGTGTTATAGCCCCCTTTAGTGGTGGTTTGCTGGTACTGCAGCTGTACTTCTGTCAGCTCATCACTCAAACACAGAGAATCAAGTTGTACAAAAGCAGAATCTTTTTCCGTCCACTCACAACATCATCACATCCAAAAACAATTCAATACAGAAACAATAATATTATAAAATTACAATGATGAGATTTTCATGCTACAAAATCAAATAGTTCTTATTTTAATGTTCGTCATCCTTCTGCTGATATTCTTGAATTTGTGATTACATCAAACCCGTTTCTCCTCTCTGTTGTCCTCCAGGATCCCGGTCCTCCTCCAGCCTCCCCCCTGCTGTGTCTGAAACCTCTGCAGTTGCTTGAGGTGAAAGCCAGGGGGCGCTTCGGCTGCGTCTGGAAGGCCCAGATGATGAATGAACAGGTGGCCGTGAAGATCTTCCCCATTCAGGTTGGAAAGGCAGATTTTTCTTGACATGCTCTTTTGTGTGCTATTTCTTTTGTGTCGAACCAACTTTTACACATCTCCTCCTCTTCCCTGTTCTCCTTCACCTCCTCCTCTCCCTCCCACTGTGGACAGAATAAGGACTCATGGCAGAACGAGAGAGACATTTTCATGACACCAGGGATGAGACATGAGAACCTCCTGAGGTACATCGGTGCAGAGAAGCGAGGGAGTCACCTGGAGGCCGAACTCTGGCTCATGACAGAGTTCCACGAGAGGGTGAGGTTAAGGAAGGAGGAAGAGAGGGAGAGGGAGAAGTCAGCACTAATAGAAACAAGTAATGTGGTTGATGTCCACATCAATTTAAGAGATCAGCTAGAGTTTGATGGATTGAGTCAAAGGCTTGTGTGCATTACTTTAATTTTTGAGAGATCAGACTAATACAATATTGTGTCCTCTCCAAAATGATTGATTTTTTTAAATTCTTAAATTTTTTGGTGATATCACAAAAGGGTTGTCATAATACCGCATTTTCAAACTTCAATATGATTCTGATAAAAAATAAACAATATCTAAACCGGTTTTGTACCACTGCAACAAAGGAATAAGTCCAGTTCAAGCGGCCCCAGAATAGATCCCTGAGGTACTCCTTTATTGATCACAAGGTAGAGGGAATTTAACCCTTGAGCTTGCATTGTTTACTGATGTTTAGTTTATTAATCTGCTGCCATTGAATGTCTAAAATAAATAAATCCATATTGAAAAAAAGATTTTGAGGATTCTGTAACAGACAGTGTCAGCTCTATTAGTTTGTTTTGGTTTTGAAGGAAGAAAAAGCTAATAAAACTATGTTTGTTTGTGTCTGCAGGGCTCTCTGTCAGACTTCCTGAAGGGAAACATTGTCAGCTGGTCCGAGCTGTGTCACATAGCCGAGTCGATGGCGTGCGGCCTGGCTTACCTTCACGAAGACGTCCCTCGACAGAAGGGGGAGGGGCCTAAACCGGCCATCGCTCACAGGTCTGCAACAAAGAAAATGTCCACCATTTGGTCATGGGCAAAACATTTAAGGTCCCAGAGCTGCACCTGCTGCTTAGACAATAAGCTTTATTGTGATGTCAGAGGAAAATGGCTGCCATGGGAATCAGGCAAAAATGTAAGATGTCAGACTGGTACATTTCATATATTTAACCCTTTGCTTCTCTTTTAGGGATTTTAAGAGTAAAAACATCATGCTGCGTACAGACCTCACAGCCGTGATCGGAGACTTTGGTCTTGCCGTTCGCTTTGAGCCGGGGGAGCCACCTGGAGAGACCCATGGACAGGTAAGCTGCTCTGACTGAAGCACAACAGTGTGTGTTAATCATTGAACATCCCATCATAACTCTGCGTGTGTGTATGTGTGTGTTTGCAGGTGGGGACGAGGCGTTACATGGCTCCTGAGGTATTAGAAGGAGCCATCAACTTCCAGCGAGACGCCTTCCTCCGCATAGACATGTATGCTGTGGGTCTGGTCCTGTGGGAGCTGGTGTCCCGCTGCAAGGCTGTTGATGGTACACACACACTAACACAAGACATATGTACATAATAAAAAGCTTGCACTTAACAATTGTTTTGGTTCAGAACACTTTAAAAACTCCAACTGGTTTGTAGTCGACTGTTTTAAAGAGTTAAGTTTGGCATTTGGTCGCCACCATAGTTTTTTCGAACCAGGAACCTTCTCGCTGTGAGGCAACAGTACTTACCAATTTACTAAACTAACATTTAGTAGTAGCTGTATTGGAATGACTTAAAACTAGATAGATTGAGACCATGAATTCATAAGGAAAATGTTTACTGAGAGAATGAACCATCTAGCAAGTACAAACATTTTATCATAGACGTCTATACAATCAGTCAGCTACATACAATCAGTCCAGTCGTCCCCTGCTGGACATTAGAAAGACTACAGGTGAATGCCTTATACCCAGACAAAACAAGTGTATTCTGTGATTAATGATGAATCCTTTAAATGAATTAGAAAGAAGGGCATTGGTTTGTTAACTCAGTGCGTGTGTGTTTGTGCATCACAGGTCCTGTGATGAATACATGCTGCCGTTTGAGGAGGAAGTTGGTCAGCATCCGTCACTGGAGGACCTGCAGGAAGAAGTTGTCCACAAGAAGATGAGACCGGCCTTTAAAGACTTGTGGCTCAAACAGAGCGTGAGCATCCCACACACACACACACACACACACACATACACACACACCATAATTAGGTACTTTTGTTGGGAAATTTCTAAGCGGCAACCTGCAGTTTTGAATAATGAAGACAAATACAAGTGTTCCACTGGAGGCTGACTCCTGCAGTGAGTCCCATGTTAAAATGTCCAACTTCACAGCAGAAAGAAACATGTTTGCAGCCTGGTACAAAACAGTTTTGGTCTCTTTAGCTCATTTCTCTCTTAGTGACAACTGTATAGGTGGAATTTTTATGCAACTTTTTATGCAACCTGGTGTGTTGTAGCTTTTTGTCAGGAGGCTTTAGCTAAGTTCCATCACTGACTTTAAACTGTCGGCTTTTTGAGCGTGTTTCAGCAGCCAAGATTGATTTAGCCCACCTTAGCTCCACCTTATTGCTTGTTTCTAGATTAGCCGGAAGTGAGCTTGAGTCAGTATTTCCAATATGGCGACCACCATTGTTGTGGAATGCCTTTTTCAGAAACCAATGGATGACTTCACTGAGACATGTTTCCTGGTTTTTTCACTGCAGGGTCTGGCTCAGATCTGTGAGACGGCGGAGGAGTGCTGGGATCACGACGCTGAGGCTCGACTGTCGGCTGGTTGCGTTGAGGAGAGGATCTCCCAGGCTCGCCGCCTCACCACCAATATCGCCCCGCCTACCTCGGACCACAACGCCCTGCTGGTTTCCACTCTGGCTCCTGTTCCCATGGTAACCAACGTGGACCTACCGCCCAAAGAGTCAAGTATATGAAGATCACGTTAAAAAGAAAAAAAAGAAACACTTTTTTTGCAGGCCTGACGTTCCAAGAGATTCTGCTCAAGTTCGGTTCATCCTCCCGTGAAAACGACCGAATTATCTCAGAAACACACACATACACTCACAGACTGCACACACACTTCATCTTTTCTCAGTGGATTTTACAAACTTAAAGCGGAAAATGGCGTGAAAGCAGCTGCTTTTCGACCTCTCTGGACTTGTGTTTTTGGACTTGTTACGTTCTCATTTTTGGATTGTCTCTCTCTTCGTCCTTTTGGACAAATATTACCAGCACACGTCTTCATTTTCTTCGAGTTTCCTCGAGTCATTCGTGTCTTTTTTTAACCAAGTATGTGTGTGTTTTTAATGAGAACACCAAGCAAACATGCACACACACACACACACACACACACACACACACACACATTCACAGGAAACCCAACACTGAAACGCATTCAGGTCCCGACTCAGTGAATGCTCTTTTATCTCCAGGTACCTCAGCGATGACTTTCATTACTTTCGCCAATTTTTTAAACCATTTTTATCGTGCATTCTTACATCTGCTGTCTTCTTCTATTCCTTCAAATCTGGACTTTTCTACCTACCTGGCAACTTTGCAACCATGTCAGCAAGCAACCACCTCAATCCGCCCACGGATGGGATGTTTTTTTTGTTTTTTTTTTACTACGATGCTGCAAAACCCGTGTAGGAACGCAATGACTGTTACAAAAACACCAACAGCGAACCTTCAGATATCTGTTTTTTTTTTTCTACCTTCTCTTGGACTGTTTTTCTTTCCGATTATCCTCCTGAGACCACATGATACATTTCACACATGACTAACCTTCGGATCCAACGGGTTGCATCCAAACAGACAGGAAACAGGAAGTGAGGTCAGAAGGAAGGACGGGAACAATAAAACATACAAGGACTGGTTGTGATTGTATGAAGGTTTATCTCTATTTTTGGTGTTCTACTGTAAAGACTTGAGGTTGAAGATCAAGAGAGGTCCGACGGTTTTTCAGGAAACCAGGAAGTGAACATCTTGCATGCAGAGATTTGATTGGCTGACTGCGTTCAACCACAGCATTTTGGTTGGCTCGGGAATAAAACTTCTCAGGTAACCAGGTCTACAGGGGGATTGTGACCCGACATCAGCAGCAGGTTTCCACACAGTCTAGGCAAGGGGCAGGGCCAATAGCCGATGGGAGGGGCTTCCCTGAGGGGTCTAACCTATTGGCTATCCTGAATATGTTAAGGTGCCCAAACAAGGGGAACAAATGTTACCCTGACAAGGTGCATGACCTCGATGCATACAGTGGTTTATGCTTTCAGGTCAATGTGAGAGTGAATGTGCAAATGTGTGTGAGTGACAGAGTGTGTGAGAGAGTGAGAGATAGAGAGTGTGTGTGTATGTTAGTGAGTGGTACAATGTGAACACATAAGTCACAAGATGTGACACTTTTTCTTTTTTCAATTTTAATGTTATACTGTTTGTGCTAAATGTTCAAGTTTTCAGTCTGGTTGTTTGTTTTCTAAAGAGGAGGTAAGTGACAGACCTGTGACTCTGAACTTCAACTCTAACATCGCCCCCTTCTGGTTGAGCTGCAGTACTGCAACAATCTGGCAAAAACGTATAAACTGAATTCTGCACAAAGTGCTCCATTTTTTTTTTTTTGTCCTCTAACAGAAATTGGCTTGCACATATACATTGGCATAATTTCTGTATGTGCAGTTGTGAGTTCTCTTTCAATGATTGATATGATAGATGAATTTCACCTGTCTTATGAAATAGATGTTTTATAAAACCTTTTTATACTGTTGAATATAAAATAAAAGTAATTGCATTGTTTTAAAACACGTGTCATCAAAAAGTAAAAAAAAAAGATTATTTTTAAAAGTTAAATTATTTTCCAAAATTATTCTAAATATAGATTTATCCGCCACTGAAAAATAGTCCACAAGTAAATTCACTCTTCCTTTGTGGCTTGTTAAAAATCCACAAATGTTTAAAAAGTCATTCAAAGTCTTCGGCCCTCTACTCACTGACCTCCTCTCCTCTCATTGTCACTCTCTTTTGTCTTTCCTTCAACTGGGACCAAATCCGGGGCGTCTGTCTGTTGCCTCGGAAACAGTGAGTCCAGTTCAGAAACTCATGTCATCCTTAAAAAAACAACAACACGTTGTTCCCAACAAAAAGAAGCTGAAACATAAACAAGGAGCAGTGTGTTCTTTTTACGGTTCTTTTTGTTTGTTTGTTGTGTTTTAGTTCCTTCTGTGATGCCATACGTGTTAACAGTGAATGTCGATGATGATGATGCTGCTGATGATGATGATGATGATGATGATGATGATTCACAGTCAAATATTTCTGTATATTCCTTTATTTTAAGTTCATTTGACTTCCGGTGCATTGAACACATGCAACACTCTGTCTTTGTACGAAGTCAGTGAAGCTAGACGAGGCATTCGAGGAGCGTCGTGCGTTTCGGCTTCGGGAACGAATAGTGCAGAAAAAAAAAAAGACAGAAAAGCTGAAAGAAAAAATACAAACAAAAAAACAAGTTGAAACAATACTGCTCATAAACCACAGATCACCTCAATACACCAGAAATACCTCAGAAGACTTTTCTACGTGTTTTTAGTTTCTTTGACGACTTGTAGTCATGATATTTTTTATTCTTTGTTTTTATTTCACTCTTTGATTGAAGAGGTTTTTTTTTTGGTTTTTTTCATAAAATCTACAAACTGATTGAAGATTAATGCTACCAGGTAACAGCGAGACTCGAAACCTCCGTGTTGTAAATAGTTATTAGAGTGTGTTTTTGTTTTTAGACTGAACTGAACTGCCGATTTCATTAAAGCACCTGGACTGAGCTGGACTACTTCCATCCCCTCATCTCATCTCCTTTCCTAACCTCTTAACCCTGTAAGGCTAAACCATCAAATAATCATCAGAGAATTCTAATCTAAGATCTGGAGTTGTTGTAAAACTTTCTAAAGAGAGAGACTGAAAACTATTTTTCAGAAAAATGTAAAACATACACATTACATTTTGAATGAACCATTGGAAGTTCAAACTTTTATTCCCCCTCTGAGACTTCTGGCCTTTATTGATTGTTATTGTTGGATACATCTTCATTTCAGTATTTATCTAAAGATGTCCCTGTTGAAGTTTAATTAACAGTCTTTCTTTATCTTTTTCAAAATTGGCAAAAATATCCTTGAGGAATCACATTTGTGTCACCGATTGACTTTCATTATTTTTGATGTAGAAACGTCCTATTGGACAGCTTTCAGTGCCCTGGTGGATACTTTATGCACTGCATGTATCAGGTTGTATTCATTGGGATTTTCAGGAGAAAAAAACCATCTCACAAAAGATTCAGAAGTCTCAGAAGTTGTCTTATCAGATATGATAATTTTTTTGTTATAGGGTTAACTTTCCTTCTCCTTTCCTTTGCTTCCTCTTCTCCTCGGCTCTTTGCGCCTCGCTGCCTTTTACCGCCTTAACCTTCCATTTCATCCACTTTTTTCTCCTTTTCTCTCTCGTCTTCCAGTCCCATTAAATGGTTCCTTCATTCTAACTTACTTCTCTGCCTTGTTGCACTTTGATTTGACTGATTATCTTCCTTTTACCTCCACATCTGTCTGAATCATTGAAGTTTTCCAATGTGGTCTTCGTTGTGCCTTTATTTGACTTCATCTCTGGAGCTTCCTTCTTTACTTCCTCTCTATCCTTCCTTTGAATGTAAAAACCTCTGATATTTCTAAAATCACACCTGAGTGTCTTTGGATCAAAACACGTTTAGAATATCTGATTTTGATGAAATAACTAAAACAGTATTCTAAATGTATTTTGTACCCATAACCAGATGTGATCTCTATGTGACAAATACTCTTCTCAGATGATGCTGACCTGCTGTTTTTTTTGTCAGGATGCAGACCCACTCAGATCCAGGTGTTTCCAGGTGTTTCCAGGAACATATTACCTCATTTAAGCCACACGGGCAGAAACGATGTGCTAGGAATGCGTCAGTAGTCAGTGACGGTGGGAAAACTCGGGCAATATTATCATTCAGGTTTGGGGATGAGAAACACATGCTCATTTTCACATCGAAACCAAAATCTAAAAACATTCAACTGTCGGGGGAAACGCTTCTGCATCCAGCATTTAGAGATCAGAAATACTGTTAGCATTGTTAGCATCCCACAGGGAAGCCAGTCTAGTATTAAGCCCAAACAAACAAAGGGGGACCAATGAGGAGAATGCTAACGATGCTAAAGTTCTTGTTTTTAACTAACCCAAGTGCCAAACAGCAGATATTTCCCCCTCACAAAGTAATTAAATTGAAAAATACACGACATTCAATTCATTTCAATAAATAATCAATGCTTCAAATAAAACAAGTCATTTTTGACTTACGCTAATACACATTTAATACTCAGAGCTAGCTCTTAGAGCTTTGAGCTGGCGAATATATCACACATGAATAGCAAAGCCTCTTAGGAGTTCATGCGACCTTAGTAACTATGGCGATATCCGACAGAGTTTGAGGGCCACATTAAAGAAAAAAACGTAAGGATTAAGTCGTAAAATTAACAAGACGATAATCTTGAAAACATAATGAAAATTAAGTTGTTATATCACAAGTCATAACATTATGAGAAAAAAATCGTAACATAAGAAGGAGGGAATTGTTATATTACCAGATTAAAGTCGTAAGATTATGAAAATAAATCTGTAACTTTACGAAGAGAAAGTCGTAACGTTTCGATGATAAAGTTACAATAGAGGACGGCATTTCCCTGTTTCTGCCTTCACAGTATTTTAAACTGAAAGTCACCATTGAAAAGCTCATATTTGAAGGCGACGCTTCCTTTTCTGTGGCCAATCAAGTGCCTGTTAGAAGAACTCAAGAAGTAAATTGTTGTTGATTTGTTCAGAACGTCGAGGAATCTTTGTTGTTTTAGTCATTGACAGAGGGACAGTGTGACAGACTGTGGTACAGTCAAACAGAAATGTGTGAAAAAGATACAAATACATATAAGAACTGACATCTGACACTCTTACTCTGGGAACATTTCTCTTGGCTGAAGCTGTAGAGCTTTCTATTTCTTCTGAACAACACTTTTTTTCAGACTGCTGTTATAAGTGAGTGATCAGATCTTAAACTTGTCCAGACATCACCAGTTAGTTTATATTCTGATGGGTTGTTGTTGGAGCGTCGTAAGAAGCTCTGGTGACGAATGTGGAAAAAAGAACTCCGTGTTTTAATTCCTTCCTGGTCTTTAGAAAGTCCTGATGTAACCTACCAAGAAAAGGAATTCTGCTGCAGTCTGAACAAAGTTTATGAAAGGGGTTTCCCAGGCATGTTGTCAAGGAGCCATTTTGAACAAATTGCTGCTGTTTCTCCCCGATACTGCAGGAGTCCCATGACTCTTATCCTCTGAACAAACAGGTGTGTAAAGATGGCCGCCTCATGTTTTGATGAAACATCCTGTCCCAGGTGTTCAGCAGTATTGACGATTAAAAATTCACTTAAGAAAAGAAGAACTGTGAAATAAAACATTTTCTTACCGGCATAACCCTCAATTACAAAATCTGCTGAGGAGGAAATTGGTTACGACACCAGAATTTTAAACTTTGAAACGATTCTTTTGAAAATCCATCGATATCGAACCTGTTTGTTACCACGGCAATAACAAAAGTCCAAGTCAACCAGTATCGGACAATTTATTGTCTTTGATTAACTAAAATTACAGGCAAACTCCTTCACACTGTCTTCATTGCACAACAATCCTTGGCAATGTCTTGGCCCTATAACTTGTTAAAATGTAAATCAGAATTTAAAATCCATGAATACGAGCAGGATTATTAAAATTCACTCCTTTTCTTTCGAGGGTTGTCCCGAGACTTGTCAATTTCAATACGATACTAATAAAAACAAATGTTATTGATACCATGGCAACAAAAATAGAAGTCCTAAACACCCGATATTTGGTCATTTCTTGTTTTAATGATCCATGTATTGGCAAACACCTTAACACTGTCTAAATAGCACAAAAACATTAACCACCTTTCTCGTTTTTTAAACATTGCCAGATAAATGTTTTTATGCAATTTAGACAATGTGCAGGACTTTGTCTGCCCCCCCCCTCATCTTACTGCACCTTTTGGTTTAAATTATGACTGAAAATCTGCAGCTTTTTAATGCTTCAGTACGTTTCAATACTATCGATCATTGTAATAAAAGAGATTTAAAAAAAAGAGCTATCCAAAACTTTAAGATGTTTAACAACCCTAGTTCGCATTGTTCTGAAGACTTCCCAGATATAACCTTAAAGCTTTAGATGAAGACATTTTTTTCTAAATATAATCCAAATATTATTTTCTTCATATCTGCATCAAATTTGGATGATTTTTAAGTTGATTTGTGGATTTGCTTCAGTCCTTAATAAATATATTTATTTTCCAGTAGCACCCGAATTAAGTCGGATAAAAGCAGACGATAAATATAAAGAAAGAAACCGGTTTTCTTTTTGGAACATAATAAATACATGAACTAGGGACCGTCCTTAAACACTGTTTTGGTCATGTTCACTTGAGGCGGCCATCTTGACAGATCTCCATCCTTCTCCACCAGTATGGTGACGAAGATGATGATGAAGATGATGTGAAATGTAAATCTTGTACCCTATGTTTTACTGTTGTAGAACCCAGAGACTACTGATTCAACAAATATGCTATAAAAAAAAACAGAAGAAGAAGAATGTGTGAGAGCTGGTTTCATAACTGTAAAAAAAAAAAACTAAACCGACATTGTCTTTGAAACTGAATACATGTGGGCGAAGCTGTTTTTCATGACGTCTTTGAAATATATAAATATACTGTATGTACGTTCAGCAGGTGGAGGACATAAGTAAATAAACCCCGCCCCCGCCCCAGGTGCTGTCCATCCTGTCGTGATGCTGTTCAAAAGTTCCAGTGGGTTATTTTTTTATTTTCATTTAAAAAAAAAAAGAAGCAATGATCACTGTAACATAGACGTTTAATTTACTGTCCAGATCAAATACCTGCACACCAGTAAGGTTTTTTTTAATGTGGTGGTTTGTAGAGAAAACTGCTGTGTGTGTGTGTGTGTGTGTGTGTGTGTGTGTGTGTGTGTGTGTGTGTGTGTGTGTGTGTGTGTGTGTGTGTGTGTGTGTGTGTGTGTGTGTGTGTGTGTGTGTGTGTGTGTGTGTGTGTGTGTGTTTGTGCTGTAGTTTACTCTATTTCTATCTTCCTCTCTCCACCCAGTGCCAGGATCATTACTGTCTGAATGAATGTAGTTCCAGTACGCACACACACACACACACACACACACACACACACACACACACAGCAGATCGGTTACTGAGAAAATAAATAAACTCACTGTAGAAAAAGAAGGGTTATTACAATTGTATCTTTTTGTATATGGAAATAAACAATAAATACTGTCAAATCAGTTTGCACAGACCTCTGTTGTTTTCATTTCTGTCTTTACAGATTATTAATTTAAGAGCCCTATTTTGAGTTTTTATGTAAGAAAACAAACTGAAAGTTACAATTGTTCGATGGTAAACTACACACACTTAAGCAGCGCCAATAAGATCAGAAGCTGCCACGTGGCATGCCAGTTACAGCATCACCTAAATGTTTTGTGTTCTTTGTGTAATGTTTGACAAAATTACTGAACAAAGATGACGATGGGCATTAGATCAGACTGCTTTAAATTTAGATGGATATAAACTGAGTATAACAATTTATTTTGCTCCATAATAAAACCAAGATCCAGTTTGTTTACAGTCTATAGTTTATATAGGCCAGTTTACAACAAACATGGGTGTGGCTGAAAGTTACCAGTTAACACGGTCCCTTTTTAAATCAAAAACAGTAATAGTAATAGTTTCTTATGTAGCCTAGTATCTTTTATATCTCTATTGTAATAAAAAACCAAACACCAGACCAGAGCATTATTTTTTATAGATCTATATATCTTTGTATATCTTTTTATAGGACTTTGCACCAGACTAAAGAGCTTCCTAAATCGTGACTTCATAAATTCCTCCTTACTTTTAATTTGAAGGGGACGACCGGAAGATGAGTTTCGGCGGGTGGAGGTTGATGCTAACAGGTTGAAAATGTCGGCTTCTTTCAGAGTGTTGAACAGCCGTGTGTCGGCTCTGTGTCTCTTCCTGACACCGAGGAATCATCCGGTACAATGTTCGGTGGGTGGACGGTGGCTGTCATGCTCACAAACAGGTACCAAGAGGGAGCTAAAGCTAACTGCTGATGTTAGTCCAACCGTTCTGTTTACTGTTTTCACCGGGATTATGCTGCATTCAAGTGCTGCTCGGATGGTCCATTTTCCAGAGTTCATAAGGCGCCCCTCCCTCTTCTAAAAAACATTTTAACAACGTTAAAAATAAACAGATTTATTTAATGATATGAAAGTTATCTTGTGCCCTCAACTTGTGATTAAAAACCATTTAGCTGCATTATAATTAACAGCCAATAATTTTCGGCATAGGTTTTTTAACCATGCAGCCCAATTTTACTCTGGTCCTTCAAGATGTGTGTATAATATGTGTTAAGTAAAATTTTTTATTTGTTTGTATGTCAACTTGGTAAATTAATGAACCAACTTTTTCGTTTGACTTCTCTGTTATTGTTCCGGCTACACGTGATTTTTTTTTTCCCACGGTGGAAACTAATTTTTCCGATTTTTCGTACACCACGTGAATGCAGATAACTATGTAACTATAACGTGATAGAGTAACTCGTTAATCTTGAATTAAAGAATAACTGTTCTTTTGAAACGTAATATTACGGTGATAGGACTTTTTTGTATCACTTTGACCGGCTTTTATTGACATAATACATCTTAAATAACTTTGTTTTTTGCTTTTAAACTGAAGTCAGTGATACACACATGAATACAGTTAATCATTTGTAGATTGTAGCTTCGATTGACGTATTGGCCCATATTTTACAACTAATAAAAAAAGGTGTGTTCTCAGTAACTCTTGTTTTAATCGTATGCAACATCTGAGTGTTATTGTTACTTATTTATAGTTATTTATATTTTTAATTGTTTACTTTTCCTCTTAAATGAAACAATCAATTCAAATAAATCTGATTTATCATTGAGATTTAATGTTCCCAGGTGATACCCTTCGGCCACTAGAGGGCGTCAGAGTGTTAGACCTGACCAGGTAAAGTCTGTCTGAAAACTGCAGTAATATTCTCTTTTTTTTTTACATCTCTTTAATGTATTATTTATTTATATTCTGTTATTCTGTTATAAATGTTTGAATGTCTGCAGAGTTCTGGCTGGTCCCTTTTCCACCATGATCCTGGGAGATCTGGGAGCTGAGGTTGTCAAAGTGGAGAGACCAGGTGAGTCATTTTTTTCTACCTCGCTTTACCTTGCCTCCTTCCGGATGTCAGACTGTGTGAGCCAAGACTTATGGGAGTCGTTGTGTGGAACAGGTGCAGGTGACGACACCAGAGCCTGGGGGCCTCCATTTGTCGGTGCAGAGAGCGCCTATTTCCTCAGCGTCAACCGGAACAAAAAGGTAAGTGTTTCCTGAGAGTCAACACATACAGTCTCACCATAGACTGTATGTAGGAAAAAAATGTAGACACTGGGACGTCACCCTGCTGTGATGGCAGGTAGCTGCTAATTTGTGGTAACATCTAAATAAATAAAAAGTTTTGACTGAGTTTAAAACTAAAAATGCAGCCTGTACAGTCCTGAAGGGAGAAATGAGCTATACAAATACACAAATATAGTACAAATATAGTACAAATAAACTGTTTTTGTACCAGACTGGCATGCCACTGATGGATGGTATAAAATTGATTGATTGATTTGTTTAAGCAAATTTGATCTTATCTTAACAAAATAGAAATGGAAACATAATTTCCCAGCCCTAACTGCTGACCACTGATGGCTGTATCTTATCTGAAAGCTCTTTTCTAACCGCTGTTAAATAACAAAAGAAGAAAGCAATGGTGTCCAATTACACAACTGGTGTTACAGACTAGCTGCAACCTCCGGTGTCAAAAAAGGAAGCCAATGCTGAAGTACAGTATCCTGCATTTTTTGAGTATCTGCTCGAGGACTGCTCCAAGAGATCCGAAGTCACATACACAGCCCTTCAAAAAAAGTCAGTTTCTGAAGCAGAAATTAAAATGTTAACAGCCTGGTTTAAAAAAAACAAACCAAAATAGGTCTGACTAGCTCTAGTGTCTCTATTGGCAGACAATTTGGGTGATTTTTTTTAGATAACTCATCTGTTTTGATGTTCTGAAGGATAAACGTTATTTCTAATAATGGCGCGTAGCCGACCTGACTGACATGCGTACACTGTGTTGCTGTTTGTCAGGAGGCTTTAAACCTGCCTCAGCTCCAGCTCTCAGCCTGTCGTGGGGAGACTGAAAGTTAGTTCGACACAGAATTTCCAGCATGGAAATCGCCATGGCTTCTAAAAGCCCCCCTGCAGTTGCAGATGGGTGACATCACTCAGGCTTCATCCATTAATATTTACAGTTTATGCTTACAGACTGTCCAGATGCTAAGAAACTAGCTTAGCATCTCTTGACTTAAGGAACAATCTATGTTAATAAACATTATAAAGGAAATGATGAATAGTTATATGAGGTTAAATGCAACCCCCCCGCCACTGTAACACTGTAAACTTGTTTATTTCTGCTCTAAAGTTGGACATTTTAATATGGGAGTCTATGGGGCCTGACTCGCTGCAGGAGACGGCCTCTAGTGGACAAAAGAGGAACTGCAGTTTTTGGTAATTCAGTGTTGGCTTCACTTTCTAGCTGGTGAGGTTAAAGTCTGGTTTCAGTCATGGCAGGATCATTTATGAAACATGTATGTAAGAACTTGTGCATAATTTGGAGAATGTCTGGAATAAATCTCAAATACATTTGATTGATTTATCAGGAACGTAACACACCGAAGGCTCTATTAGTCTCGTGACTGTTAATAGCGTGATGCATTGATGGTGTGATTTCAGAGCATTGCTGTGGACCTGAAGCATCCCAAGGAGCGAGAATCATCCAGGAGGTACGAGTCACACCCAGAAGTACATTCTTATGGGTTTTAAATAAAGTCTAAAAACATGACAAAATATGATTTAAATCAGGATATACAAGTCTGGGATTCCTTCTCAAAGTTAGACGAATCAATCCCCTCTGCAGAGCAAACACGTCCGTAAACATGAAATACTGCTGTAGTATGTTATCGTTTTGTGTTTATGTTTATGTGTTAGCTGGCAGGAGTGAGTGACGTGCTGGTGGAAAACTACTTACCGGGGAAGCTCCTTGAGATGGGTTTAGGATATGAGCAGCTGAGCAGAGTGAACCCGCAGCTCATCTACTGCTCCATCTCAGGTACGGACACAATCCCTGATCTAACTACAGCTGTTTGTTTCACAACCTGATGAGACGTGTGAAAAGTAACCGTCAGTCTGACGTGCCGCTCACAGCTTTTTACCAGACACGAGGGGATGTTTACAGACCGAGGGAGACAGAAATGTTATGATATGAGGAAAGAGACATTTTAGGTGACATCACTCCAAAGAAGAGCGGCTGTGTGCTCAGTTGGTGGAGTCGGTCTCTCTCTTCAGGGAGGTTGTGGGCTCAGTCTCCAGCTCCTGCAGCCACATGTCCGATGTGTCCTTGGGCAAGACACTTAACCACAGGCTGCTCGCACTGCTTCGGAGGCAGCGTTTGAATGTGTTTGAATGGGGTTAGTTACTTCTGATGGACACTTTACACAGCAAACCTCTGCCATCAGTGTGTGAGATGGATGGATGGATGATTTTGGTTCAAAGAAGTCATCTCTTCTACCTGCGGACCTGCAGTTTACAGACTGAGCCACTAGATGTCGCTGGTCTCAAATGAAAGACGAGCTGTGCTTCTGCTCTCTCATGTTTCCTCTCTTCAGAATGTGAAGTGAACCCTCAAGGCCTGCAGAGACACTCAGCTCATCACAGCTCTAATTATACCTCACACTGCAGAAACATGCTCTTTTTAAACAATGATTGGACTTAAAACCATTTACATTTTTTTTGTCAACTTTCTTATTTCAACTTTGGTCTCATCAGGTGATGCATTTAATTGTCAAAGCTGTGTGTGACACATGCACGGAAACTGATAAACAACTTAATAATAAACAGAGATGAGTACAGCAACAGCAGGGTCTTCTTTTACTGAAATCTTCTAGTGTTATCCACATTGAATTGCGTTTTAATTGATCTTAAATGATCTAAGAACATTTTTAAACACTTGTGCAAATGCAACTACATAGAGGGTTCAAGTCCCCATAAAGTACAAAGTGTGACGAGTTCAAGCCTCCACAAAATGTCTTGATTTGATTGAATCAAAATGAATGATTTGCCTAAATCTTCAGGCAGAATGGTGATCCCTGTTGGAGATGTACTGGAAACATTTCAGTTTACGATCACAAAGGAAGCCGCCTGGTGAATGCAGCAGTTCTCAAAAACTTTTGCAACATGGGGCCCCGGTTGGCAAAAGCGGTTATTTCCTGCTGTTCTGTACAGAGGCTGTAATTCTCGAAGTTGGCAGTCCGGGTTTGAGTTCGACCTTCAGCCTAACTCCCTGCTTTCCTGCTTTATCCACTGTCCTGTCTCTAAAAAATACATAAACAGCCCCCAAAAAACTCTGCCGCTGAGTGAGCTCCAGTATATATTCCTCTCATCCAAATAGTCTAAGTTTTTTAAAAGCTTCTGTACTTCTTGGTAATTTAAACATTACAGAGATTGTATGTTTTTAAACAAGTATTGAAAAAGTATACGTTGCATGTATGGAACATTTGGATAGGCGTAGTCTTTCTGCTTCTCACACTGCTGAAGGTCATGTTCACTTCCACAGTTAAAGACGTGTTTGAATTTTCTGTGAACTGATTTCTGTCTCGGAGCTCGTCTTCAGTTTTCGTCTCAACATGTGAAGCAGAGTTCAGATCTGGTTTTCGTTTAAAGACACGATGGGATGTTTTCTGTTAATGTGAACCGTCTCAACTCTTCAGGAAATCAATCTGTGTTCAGTCAGAGAGGCAGACTAAACACACAGCTGGAGAAGGACGAGGGTTCAATTCCCCGCTGTGTTTCCTCTTTGATTAGATTGAAACTGCTAATGTGTGTGTGTGCGTGCGTGCGTGCGTGCGTGCGTGCGTGCGTGCGTGTGTGTGTTTAGGCTATGGGCAGACCGGTCCTCAGTCTCAGAGTCCAGGCTATGACTCCATCGCCTCTGCTGTATCGGGAATGATGCACATCACGGGGCCAGAGGTCAGACTCCTCTCTTCTATGTGATCTATTTGCTGTTATTTTTTTAAGCTTTTAAAGGTCACAAGTTATGATAATTTTCAACAAGTTTAAATAAGTGTCAGAGCTCCCCAAAAACAAAGTTTCTTGCCAAAAGTCCACTCAGATCCTGTATTTTATCATGCCTATCAACCCCTCTATTTCATCCAAACCAAATATTTCTTCATGTTAGAAAATCAAATACACGTCAGAATGTTTTGTTTTAATATCATAACAACAAAAGACACTATTAACAACCTTTTCATTTGAGTTTGTACATTGGTCCTCCATATAAAACCATCAGAAACTACAATCCCATAATGCACTGCTCTCTAAGGGCTGTAAAGAGATCATCATAAAAGGAGCTGTGGATGTTTCCAGTCATACAAAAACCCTTACTCCCATAATGCATTACTCCTGCTTACAGGATGGAGACCCGGTGCGTCCTGGTGTCGCCATGACGGATCTGGCCACGGGACTGTACGCACACGGCGCCGTCATGGCTGCCCTGCTGCAACGGCACAAGACCGGGAGAGGGGTTCATATCGACTGTAACCTGCTGTCCTCACAGGTACCAGAGTGAGTGTGTGTTATTAAACTAAATGACTTTTTAAACAAGCTGTAGATTTATATCGTAAAGTCTGAACATTTTAAACACAGTGATTCATTTTCTTCAGTTTACACAAATACAGCGATACGTTATCTTGAAACGGTCTCTGGGCTTGAACGTCTTATTCGCCTCCTGACACCCGGGGGTGTGTTTGACTTATCACGCTGCTTGTGTGACAGTGTTGCTTTTAAAAAACAAGTTTTATGTTTCACGTTCTCTCATTTTTGAACGTCTTTGGCGGGAAAAGAGACTGCGACACACACCAGTTCAGCTCTTTGATAAATGTTATCGTCCTCCAGAGAGAAATGCAGCCTGCTGACAGAGTTTAGATGTTTGGTTGTATCACCTCTCAGAAGATCTAAACACATCTGAAGGACATCAGTTGGTGAGAGACAATCACAGGGAAGCATCATTCAGAAACTATTCTCAAAAGTTTATTACAATAAAATGTTGTCAAAATATTCAATTGTATGTTACTCTTTGATACCAACTGTTTAAAAGAAACAACCAACAATCTGTATTTGTATTTATAGTGTCAATAAGTACCAAAGCTTTAAAACACTTCAGCTCTTCAGTCACATTTTTAACCAAAAGCTGCTGAGAGGGAGACAACACTGTCTAAATTGCACAAATATGTTGCCAATGTATTTGTGCAATTAAGACACTGTGCAGGAGTTTGCCTGCAGGTATCAATATTAGCTGTCGCTGTGAAGGAATTCCCACGGCGGAGATTGAGGGTGGCTCAATGGTGCAGTTTGCGATATTGTCACACCACCCCTTTTTTTATTTAATCAGGGGTCGGCAAGTGATTGTGACTTTTTATTAAGGCCCGAACACAAACCGTGCGAGGACCCTCTTGAAACCCTAGCGATTATTATTATTTTTATTTTTCTCCTTATTTTTTCTCCGCCTCTTTGCGGTCACTTTTGAGGGCCTGAACGTGCCCGAAAACTCACCAAACTTTCCACGGTCATCAGGTCTCGTGAAAAATCTTATATTTTGGTGGTTTCGTGAACGGAGTTTGCAAAATGGCTCAGTGGCGCCCCCTTGAAATTTTCAAAATGGCCTCCCCATCAAGGCTTTTTTCATGTGCACTCACAAAAATTGGTACATATATTAAGCTTGTCGGGACGGACTAAAAATCCTCCTGCGGAGTTTCAAAAAACCCGACAGGAAGTTCACAGTTGAATTTCACAATAATGGCCCAAAATCGCCGATTTCAGCGCTCATCCGATCAGCGCAAACTCAGTGTCAGTGCGTTCTAGACAGTCTCAGCATATCTCGTTGTGCTCTGTACGTTATTTCGTCAAAGGGCGTGGCCGTGGCGTGCATTTTACGTTTTTTGAGCATTTTGGCAAGTTGCCAAAAAAAGTAAATGGTTATATCTCTGTCATGCAGGGTTCAATCATATTAAAATTTCTCATAAATGATATGGGACCTGCCCTGAACACATCCATGATTGACATTTTTTGCTTAGTCACAGCGCCACCTGTTGACAACAGGAAGTTACTGCTTCTCAATTAGCATTAGCCATTGCTACAAGGTAGCTCATTTCCCGCTCAGAATTGGTGTGGACCATGCTAACACCTTGGCCATACAACACTTTCAAACTCAAACGCCTACGTCCAACGCTCTCGCCATACGGATACATCATTCGTCGTCAAACAGGAAGTGGTTGTAACTCTCATATACTTTGTCTGATCTACTTCAAATTACACATGTATGATCAGGGTTGGCCTCTGAACACATAGACATAACAATAGTCAACTTTAACCATAGACTTTAGACTTTATTGTCCCCGAGGGGAAATTCTTTTTCACAGCACCGGTACTGTCCAACAGACAAGTCCCACCAAAGAACATTTATACACAGAAAAACAGAGAATAACACAAACAAACAGAGTTAAACAACAGTCAAGAGTTCCCATTCTGGCCTGTTCAGCGAGGCCTTTTGTTCAGGACCGTTATTACAGCGGGGATCAGGCTCCTCCCGAGGCGAGCCTTTCTGCACCTTAGTGCTCTGTACCTCCGTCCTGAGGGAAGTGGGGCGAGGTGAGTGTTCAGTGGGTGTGTGATGTCCTGTTCTATTGAATTTGCAATGCGTGTGATGGCCCTGTTATTGAGTTCTGTTAGGTTGGGTGTGGGGAGACCGATTATTATATTATATTCTCAGCTACCAGCTCTGCTGCTATCTTGACGTTAGCACTGGGGGGTACATAAACACAGCTGACCACAAGTGTTGGAAATCCCCGGGGGAGATAGTAGGGACGTAGTTACAGGGTCAGCATCTCTACGTCGGGCATACACATCTTACGGTGCACCTTGATGTTGTTACACCACCTGTCACAGACCCGCCGCCCCGCATCTTCCCCAATTGTTCCGTTCTGTTGGACCTGATGATTGTGAAGTTGTCCAGGCTGACCCCGGCATCAGAGACGGTCTCGTCGAGCCAGGTTTCGGTCAGGGCGATGATACAGATGTCCCTGAAGGCCTTTTCCAGTTTGCGTCTGGCGTGTAGCAGGTCCATTTTGTTACGGAGTGAGCGGACATTTGACAGGATGATGGAGGGCAGAGGTGGTTTAAAAGGACGCATCCTTTATTCTGCTGCGAATACCTCCACGTCGTCCTCTTTTCCTCGGCCGAAGCTCTGGTGGGAGATCCACAACAGGTTTCTATGTTGCTCAGCAGCGAGGTCCGGTGCAGCAGGAGTTCATCGCGGCCGTAGGTGAGTAGCCTGTTGCTGATGTCAACCGGTAGTGCGAGGCCATCGCAGACCAGCCATAGAATCGCGAGCTGAGTGACGATCACTTGGAACAACTTGACCATGTCTGAGCCGCAGTGTAGCTCAGATAGAACACTTAACAGTACAATAACAGTACACTATAGACACTTAGACGGGACGTGGTGTGGAGTCAAACAGAGTGCGGTCTGTGCTGTCGCAGCGGAGCGTGCACCATCTTGGATCCCTGGGTTCAGGGTGCACTCGTATTGCTAACAACCAGCCTCCTACTGCAAGGAATAAGTACTACACAATGCTCAATTTGCTCCATATTTCATAGCTATCACGACAGTGCCAGCCTGAACTGTTCCACGTCAAAATTTTCTGTGCTCTTCATTACGCTGCCTATTTCAGCATACCATAGTACGACTTTTACACAAATCGGACTGCACGGCCTGCTGCTTAGCCACGTTCCACGACTGCTGCACTCCCGCGGTTGCAGCACACCCCGACATAAACAGGGGTGCGAGGGCCCTTCGTCACCGCTTGCGGTTTTATTTATTTTCTTATTTTCTTAACAACAACGCTATGAGTCTGTGAGCAGGGCTGCAGAGAGTAGACAGCGCCTGGTGCTGAAGCTAAGCACCGTCATGGCAGCAGCAGGTAAATAGAAACCATGAAGTATCAATAAATGGATTGATAAAGAAAGATACAGATGTATGGATGGATGGATGATAGATAGATAGATGGATGGATGATAGATAGATGACAGATTGATGGATGGATGATAAAGAGATGGAGAGATCTAGAAATTGACTCCACTGTAAAAAGTGAAACGCGGTCTGTAATTGTTTGGAGGCTGTGAGGTCTCGATCTCTGCGGTTAACTCCCACTGCTGCTACACATAAAATACCCACAATCCCCCCTCCTCCTCTCCGTATCCCTGTGGTGCATTCCTGTACGGAGTGCTGCGACCACAGGCACGTCGACCACAGAGCGGTTGGACCGGAGCTGAACAATGAGAGCACACAGCAGCGGTGGATGTGGATCCATGTGGAGCGGGTTTAAGCTGACTCTGGTTTGGTCGTCGGGGGAAATTTAATCATTACAAACCAATCAGAGAGCACCGCTGCCTCTCTGCACGCCGCCTGCAGGTCCTGAAACAGCTGTAAACATCAGGAGACACCCCACACCAAAGGCTGAGGAGTCATAAGTCTGAAGTTCAGCCTGCAACGTCTTAAATTGTTGTGGTCGTTTGAGGAAATGGCTCAGTCATGCAGAAAAATACCGACGTTTGAAGATGAGAAACCGTTTTTGAAAGATGGGAAAGTTTTCCCCAAACACGACGAGAACAGGACCGTACTGATCTCTGTTAAATCTGACCTCTGCAGAATTCACACTTGCTGGGATTTTAGCAATTCACCATTTTAAAAAAAAAAATGTTGGCTGATGAATACGACAACAATTACAAGAGAAGATACTCAGAGTTGAAATTTGGTTTGTTTGCTGTTATTCTTTATCAGAGTCATCAGTTTGTGTTGTTTGGACCTGTCAAGATTAAAATGCCTTCATCCAATCTGTGTTTTTATCTTCCTCACAGCGGACATGTCCAGCACCACAAACAATAACTTTTAGAGCCGATTAGAGTCAACTCTATTGTCAGTGCACAAGTACAAGTACTGAACAACAAAATACAGTTTAGCATCTAACCAGACATGCAAAAAGCTTCAAGTGCTAAGTGTAAAGCAAGTATGAAATGAAATGAAGAAATAAACTGCTGTACACATTACAGCAATAATAGTCTCAGTTATTGAAAAGAAGAGTGAAAAAGTGATTCATCTTCTGATTCCCCTGTAATTGATCTTTTCTAGTGTGATGCTGGATTAAACAGAAACCTGGCAGAGTATTTTACATGTTTTTAAACAGCTGGCTGTGTTAGCTGTATACAATATATCTTGCACGACCTGTAGTAAGAGTAAGAGAAGATTTTAACAATAACAGTTTTTCCAAACAGAGCAGGGATTGACAGAACCACCCATAAGTTCAAGTCTGTTTCTCTTCTCTGTTTAAAGCGTTTCGATCACCTCTGATCTCATACTGTTCCTCTTTCTCTACTATCACACATTTCTTCCTCTGTTGTCGTCTTTTCTCGTCAGTGGCCTCGGGCAAAAGTTCAGAAACGATCACGAATAGGACTTTAAAACAACTTCCTTCAAAACAGACAAAGAGCGGCTACGTCTCACCAAAAACTACAGGGAATATAATATTCATAGTTTGCATTTTTATTAAGAAGCAACCTTTTGATGTTGAAAATGAAGCCAACACTGAAGTGCAGTTCCTCTAGTGTCCACTAGAGGCTGCCTTCTGCAGTGAGTCACTCCCCATAGAGCCCCATGTTAAACTGTCCAACTTAGACAAAAACAGTTTAGGTCAGTATAGCTTATTTCTCTCTTCAGGTATCAGTGATGCAGAGTGAGGGGCGTGGCCTCTTTGAGTGACAGGTGGGAGCTAGCTGTCTGCTAGGTGTCACCTCAGCTAATTCAGTCACTGAACTTAACCACTGGGCCCTATCTGTCTTGCTGTGCGCTGTTAGTCGAAAAAAAAAACAATGGGGGAAATTTTTGGTCCCAATGCATCATTTCTTTATACAGTCTTTGACTTTAATAAGTATTGGAAAGTTTTCCAGCTCTGTAAAATTGGTTGTCATTGCTTATATTTTGGATGTTTGGCCCCGAACCGAAGTTCAGATTGAGTTTCAACCAGCAGCAGCTCTTCAGAGCCGTGAAATATTAGTTGCTGATATAAAGGCCGATTGTGTTAACCCAAAGAGGCCCAGCACGCCTGTTCTTCTTCTCAACACTTAAAGATTTCACTGAACACAACACCGTCAGTATGAAACAGAACATGTGTTTAATAGGAGGAGGTATGACGTAGCAGAATGAGGTGTTTCTAACAAGCGGCTAACAACACTCAAGGCCAAGTCCTTCAGCAGTCGTGGAAATTCATTCACATGTTTTCAGCACCTTGTAAATTTAGAGAAAGCGCAGAAAAGGAGCTGCTGGTTTGTTTCCTGGTTTTCTTTTTTAAAGGAAGAAGAATTGGAGGAAAAGCTTTTATGTTCTGTTGTTACAGGAAGGAGTGATGATTGACCACAACCTCCAACACGACTGATGACAGCTCAGATTTAACACATTCTCTCCCCCATCCTCTCTCTCTCTCTCTCTCTCCTCAGGTGTCCTGTCTCAGCCACATTGCTGCTAACTATCTGAACGCGGGGAAGGAGGCACAGCGCTGGGGGACAGCCCACGGGAGCATCGTACCTTACCAGGTGACTTCCTAAACACTCAACTGTCTGTCGATTAAACACACAAACACACACACAGGAAGTGTTAATCGGGCTGCTAATGTAACGACAGCAGAAACACACACGCGTCCTGTTAGCATGTAAAAATCACTGTGACAATGCCTCATAATACAATAAAACATCAATACAAATATGGGCAATTTAAATCAATTTGACAAAAAAGTATATTGCGGTACTCTTTTGACAACCGAACCAGCAGAGGGCGCTGTCCTCTTTCTTGTTAGTTGAAGAGGAGAGGCCTACAGAAGTGGAGGAAGTGATTGAAGGTTTTGAGGTTCAGAAGATGTCTTATTTCAAAGCTGGAGTGTAGACGTGATTCGGGCAGAAAACAGACGACAATAGACCAGCAGCAGTATTTGAAACTGAGCAGAGCGTAGTGGCGTTCACTGTGAAGCTTCAATTTAAATGTGTGTTTGCTCTGAAACCAACTCACCAGTGGTAACAGGATAGAAGCTTGACGTGCGGTTGTGTTAGTGTTCTCTTAATAAAGTTACATTTTGACTTTTGGTTAATTCGGTCCGTCAGAATACAGAGTTCCATATTTAAGTCTGGTGCTTGTGGAGTCGTTGGGAACACACTCAGATGTTTGACAGTTGTGGAAACGCTGAGCAAAAGTCCTGACAGTTGACGTCAGTGTTGAGGGAAATCAAATGGAGGCACCGAGACGATTATAAAACAATTAGAGAGCATTAGTGTCAGTCACTCTGGATGTGTTCATGTTGCTGTGTGTCACTCTGCTTCCTCTCTGGAAGTGATTTCCTCTTCTGTTATCGCTCATTATCTCCCCACATATCATCTTGATCAACACCGCTGTCACCAGACTCTTTTTATATCTTTGTTTTTCTGTTCCACTCCTTAACAGGTCAAACATGCTGTTTTTATGCCTCCATACAGGAGAGTATTTACAGTTAAGATCACGTTTAACCAAATCTTTTAGAGTTCTTCATGATTCCATTTCTATGTTTTTATCTTTCTGATTTGTTTGTTTAAGGATTGAAGTACATTTAGTCATTAAGAAGAGTCTAACCGGCCCGGGTTCGAATCCAACCATGGCTCCTTCCCTTACATGTCCTTCACCACTCTCTCTTTCTTTCCCTGATATCTGACTCTATCCACTGTCTGCTCAGCTTTTGGCATAAAAATTCCAAAAATAAGCTTAAAAAAAAGTCTAACCATGAGGTTGATGAGTAAAACTTGATTATTTCGATAAAGAGTGCTGCAAGAGAATCAGTACATTTCCAGTTATTTATGGTTTGTAGATGTTTGAAATAATGCTTCATCTTTCATTCAGCAGTTACTTTTATATGTCACTTTTTTTTTATTCTCCTTTAAATTTCTCGGCCTGTAACCTTTTGTGTGTCAGCTTTGGACACTCGCTGTCTTTAAGTTTAATTTATTTTTAAAGTCACTTAACTCAACCCGTGTTTAACTTTTTTTTTACCTGTGTTAAACCGTGTGGACAATGCTTGTTATAAGAGAGGCAACCACAACTATTCCTGTTTGTGCAAAAAATGTGCAATCGGAATAGTTTATAAACAACTGCTGAATTAGTCCTGCAATAAACACGAGTCGTTGCAGTATCATTTACAGGAGGGACGTCTCTCTTGGCAGAGCAGGGGATTCTCAGGAGAGCGAGGACAGATTGTCTCTTTGCCTGTATAGAGGATACAGTCCTCCTTGATTTATGTCTGTGAAGGAAAGTTCAGGTTTTACGAGATCGAAGTGTATATCACACAGTAACAGTCAACTGTGGCTATGACCGTACCAGAATTCTAAACGTTGATATATCTGTTTGACACCACCGCAACAAAAATAGAAGTCCTAGACCCTAGAATATTGAGTAATTTCTTGTTTTTAATGACCAGAAATGACAGTTAAACTCCTAAATTACACAAAAACATTGGCAACATTTTGATATCAAACTCTAGTGGGACATATGTTGCATGAATGTTTCAGTTTTTCCAGATGAAACCACCATATTTCACACTGACATTCACATTTTAATTTGAATAAATGGCTTCACTATAAAATACACTTCGATACAGTAAATCTTTTTTTTTTTTACTAGATAATTCCCCTTATGTAGCAGACGGCTGATTTCACTCCTTATCAAATTGAATTTAAAACCAAATAAAACACATTTTTCGGATCTGGTCTTCTCTGTGCTGATGTAAAAACATTAATTATCTGTTTCCTGCACGGCACAAATACACCAGAGCACACAGGGGCATCAGCAGGATATTTTAAAATGACGGCATGAGGAGAGGAAACACAATTAGAAGCACACAGGAAAACATTAAAAACATTTTAAAATAGATGTCATTCATTTTTCGCTCAGGAACGAAGGAGCAGAAATATAACGCCACACTCTGTTTAAATGAAATAAATACATCCAAATACACACAGCATTGGTATAAAGGTAAACAACTGCCATCGTGTTGGACTCTGTTTCTTTGTCCGCAATCTTGGATTTCAGCAGGGCCTGTTTTATGTTCAAAAGGGAAAATCTCCCGTCATGAGGGACACGTGTAAAAGGGCAATGTTTGAAAATTTCAGGGAGAGGCTGTCCTGAAATTTGATGGTGTGAAAAATAAAATGTGTTGTTTTTAGCATATATTGCCTCTCTTAAGGTTAATGCTACTCACTACCTCTTGGTTTGTTTGGTTAGCACATTTTTCCTGTCAGTGAAGAAGATGAATGACACAAACATTAATGTTTCATGTTTGCTGGACCTCTTTTTATTTAATTGATAGAGCAACCTTTGTTGCACAGAGCCTTGTTACAGAGGAACAAAACAAATCTTTACTTTGTTGATGTGCAAACCAATCCTTAATTCAATACAAATAAAACACAGCGCCTTATAGACGACAAAACGTATACAAAAGAGCTTAAAATGTGAAATATAACCTTAAAAGAGATAACTATGTCACACAGACTAATAGGCCTATATTCATAGGATTATAGGCTGCAAAAACTTCCTGTGGCCACAGAGGGAGAACAAGGACATTCCTTAGATGAAATCCACTGAGTCAGTTGTTTTCATCAGGATATAGGACATGTATTTCAGCCCTTATTAAACCTACTTTTGTCACAATGAACGCTGTGAATGTAGCGTATTGTTTTGCACTTTGTACTGTACTATGTACAAAGAAAGGGGAAAGTCTTTTTGAGCACTTTGAAAAGGAGCAACTTTCTCTTTCCATGACAAGTCACTGTTAGCATTCTGATAAGTGACATATTACTCTTATACTGGTAAACAACCAGATTGAATCAAACAGTAAAATGATCTGTCAGATAAAAGGTTAGTAAAAATATAAAACCCATGGAGCATTTAGTAATCTTATTGCAGGGAGGATACATGATTTGGATTTAAAACATAAAGACATAATGATGGCAACAGAGAAAATTCAAGAAAAAATTCAAGAAGAAGCTAAAACACTTTCAGAAAGGCCGCCTTCAAGATGTCTGGTACAAAAACTCCAAGTTTAGTGAGTCTGACTTTTAATGCTAACTGAAAAGACGTCAAAGTTTTCAGATGAAAACGTTTATCATCTGTTAATTTATAAAGTATATCTTAATTGAAAAATGTAGTGCAATGAATTCACTTTCTAATATCCAATAAATCGATTTCACACAGTCAAACAAAAAGAGGCTTTTCACACTGAGCTTCCTTTGTATCAGATTCTGTTTCACATTACCGTGAGCCTGAGGGAAGAGATGTTATTATGGAGGTTTATGACTCACATTTAACCATCACACACACACACACACACACACACACACACACACACACACACACACGTTCTGTGCCTCCTGATGTTTCCCTCCATCTGCTCGGCGTGAACATGGAGACAGCGGCTCGTTTTTTGCGGTTGTCGTCTCTCACCATTCATAGTTATAGCGGCGGACTATAACACCAGTTATAGTCCGCCGCTCGGATCTAATCCTCGTGTGAACCGCCTTACCCACAATGCCGCACTCTCTCCCTCGAGCAATGCAGATGAAAGCAGTGGAGACTGGTTCTTCGGAGATCATGACAGTTGAAACAACAGAATTATTGGTGTTTCATGGTTGCGGCTTTGCGAGGGAGATATTAGTGCAGGAGAAGTTATCCATCCTCTCCGAGTTCACATCTGATTTCTGAGATGGTTCAATTTAAATCTCCACAAACTGAGACATCTGGCATGTCAGAGAGGAGACACATGAGAGGTTCACTGCAGACAGTAAGAAGAGATGAACTGAGAGCCAACACAAAACTAAATACATAAATATATCAGATCATAAAAGGTCATATAAATGTTGTGCAACACAACTGTGAAACATCAACATATTTTATGGTTTGATTCAAATGTCTATAAACAAAATAGACTTATTTTAATAAACAGGTAATTGCAATAGCTTAAGGACTAAGATAATTCCTTTTAGAGTAAAATGTATTTTGCAGGACGATAACCGACTTTTCTTTTTACGAAAATAAAAAAATTCAAAGTGCTCATAGCATTTTAAATAGTATGATTTTTGTTTTAAATTTGTTTCTAGTGTCACACTAAATACACTTCTGCAGAAGAAGCTGAGAGACACTCAGCTCTTACATATTAGCAGCTAACAATTTGTCTATGATGTCATTTTGCAGAGTCATCAGTTATGGAGCAACATGATCCTCTAATTAACGTAAATATTGGCTTTTGGGGTTCCTCAAGGTTCCATTCTTGGTCCAAATAGTTTTAGTTTTTTATTAAATATATAAAAAATATATTGTATAATTTTGTTTGTGGCACCTGATGCATCTAAATGCAGTGTTCACTCTTACATCTTGTTTTTATTTGGCCTTGAACACTTCCAGAGAGGAAACAGAGTGACATGTGTCTGTAGCTGCTGAATGCTCTACTTTGTTAAAGGCTTTATATGCGACTTTTTTGATCCAGCAGATGTCGCCCTTGAAACCAAAACAACTTGCGCTGCATTGTTGTGTTAGCATGCTAATGCTAGCGATCTTTATTATGCTCGTATCTTCACACTGCATGTAAATTTACCCGAAATGACCGTGATCTAGAAACGCTTACGTGACATTCAATTAAGCAGTGAGTACAGTATGTTATTCTTTTTTTCTCTAGTCCCTCAATTAAACAACTTTTATACGTGAGTGGATGAGCTGGCCGGCCGTCCCGACGATGTAAACAAACTGAAGATAGGACTTGGAAAACTCGGAAAGCATCTCAGACAGTGGGACTCGGGTGTTACACCCATTGTAGACAGTCATGAATCACAGTTATTTCCACAGGATATACTTGATTTCTATTACATTCAACTGTGAAAAATCACATATAAAGCCTTTGAAACTCTTACCTTTGTTATGTTTGCTGCTGGAAACTGGGACGTTATGGCCACTAAAGGCCCACACAAAAGCTGTTAAACACATCTTAGCATGTGTATAAATAGATTGGTTAATATTAGGGCTGGGCACGTTAACGCGTTATTTTCGCATTAACTCATTAATTAATTATCGCCGACAATTATTTTATCTCGCATTAACGCAGTTTTTATTATTTATTTTCTTATTGTAAAAGTCTGTTGCTCACTGGCTTTTATTTTGTAAAATTCCATCGTGAGCGAGCCTAGTATGTTGCTTAATGCTGCACATGTCTGCTGCGGCGCTCACAGGAAAGAGGAAACAGTGTTGCCAACAACTCTGCCATTAGTGTGTGAATGGTAGTGAATCAGTAGGTGTGCCCTGTGGTGTAAGAGCGCTTTGAGTGCTCAGAAGACTTATTTTAGCTTAAGCTTGGTTTTTGGTCTCCTCCACCTCAACCACAAATGCTGAATGATCCACATTGTTCACCATCTAGTCTCTGTGTCCGTCTGATGTGCGACAAAAATGAATGTGCTACAAAAGTTGATCTTGAAGATGTTATAAAGCTCTGTGGAGCTGCGGATTCTGAGAGAGTTTTTCTACTTTTTAGTTTTGTCCTTTTAGCTCTTTGACAGTTTTGTTTGGGGTCGATGTGGTTTGGGTATGGCCTTCAGCCAGCAGGGGGCAGAAGCTGCCTCCCTGCGACCTCACTGCACCGCCCAAGTCTCTGTTTGAGGCTTTGTGGTTGAATGTCCCATCGTAGTCCCCCTTTGGACTGTGTGCCCACAACTCCCTGAGGCTGGGGATGAAAGCGAGGCGGCGGCCAGGGCAGAGTGCTGAGTGTGGTGTGACGAAAGGGTTAGTGGTCTAAAAAACACACACACACACACGCACACACAGCAGTGGTATGTGGTCACTGCTCTGTGTGTGCATGTTGTGATGTGAGACAGCAGATTTTACGTCCTTTCATGTGGCGACAATTTTTTATTACAGCGATTGTTAGTGAGAGAGAGGAAGAGGAGAAGAAAGTGTTGGTAGAGGAGGAAGAAAAGAAAGATGACCTTGGGGAAGGAAAGAGAGAAGACAAAGAGGATAAAGAAGAGACATTCCCCTTCGACAGCTGGCCTTTAAACAGGTTTCCTCAGGGAGATTCATCTGATTAAACTTCTTTAAAAACATATGTGAGACTGAGATAAAATACAGATGAATCTCCATCTTCTCACCACCCCCCCAAAAAAAACCTCACAGCCTCATAATTCATCAGAGTAAATTTCATATCTACCTGCTGGACATGATCACCTTGATTAAACTGATTATAATTCTCATAGTTTATGAAGTATGGTTGGATCGCCGATGCCTGTGAACCTTCTGCTGCAGCTCTTAAAACAACATCAGGACATTAAGTCCACTGCTGGAAATACTTTATAACCCAGGTACCACAGACTCTGCTTTCCAATCTCTTATGCATATCTACGGTGCGCCTAAAGGGATTAGTTAATAAAAATGTAATGTATTCTCCTAACTAAATTATCCAGAAGCATTTTAATTAATTCAAGAATGATTTGTGTCCTCTGCTAAAATACAAAAAGTCTGTTTATAGCAGGACACTCTGTGTGCTGTAGTGAAATAGTCCATTCATATTCATGGGATCATAAGGAGCTAAACTCCTCTTTAACACCGGTTGAAATAACAGCATCTTATATTTAATTCATTCACAATATCTCATATAAAAAAAATTATCGAAGCCAACACATCTGAGTTTGAGCAGCTGGACACATTTCTGCAAAAAAATCAAGATCTCTGTCATTAAAATAAAAACTGTCTTTTTTAGTTGTTTGTAACTAGTTTATAACTAGTTGTTTATACTTTATCAACCTGTAAAAATCCCTGATATGAGAAAAACACAAAGCTGTGCTTCTATTTCTTCTTTTTCTTCTTTTTTCATGTTTTTAATCATTGAAATCCTTCATGCCATGACATCAACAGATGTATTAAAAATCTCAGCGATCATGTATTTATTACTTTTTTTGTGGAAGTGTTTCCTTGCTTCCTGCTGTAGTAATTTACCACTGAAGCCGTTTCTGTCCTTTTTCCTACATCCAGTTCATTTTATTATGTTTATTCAAGTGGCTCTAAAAACTCTCCACTCTGTTCAGGGCTTCAAAACCAAAGACGGACACATCGTTGTGGCTGCAGGCAACGACAAACAGTTTGTCAAAGTTTGTCAGGTAAGTCACATCCACAGATCAGCAGCTCTGACAGAAAAATAAGATTTTACGTCAAATATTTAGGTTTTTTTGTTTTTGGTGTTTGCAGGTTTTGGAGCTCAAGGAGCTCACAGACGATTTAAAGTACAAAACAAACAAGCTGAGAGTCCAAAACCGCAAACAGCTGCTGCACACGCTGTCTGAGAGGTATTTATACACAAACAAGCACACACAATAAACAATATTGATACCTGTTCGTTACCATGGAAACAAAAGTAGATGTCCTAGACACACAATAATCGGTAACTTATTGTTTTCACTCATCAAAAATTGCTGACAATCTCCAAGGAAGTGACAATATTTGGACAAGTAGTTGGAGCTACTGCTTAAATTGGAGATCTAATTTAAGCAGGGACCTCAAGTCAGAGTGTAACCACCAGCAGGTGACTCGTTCACTGAGTAACTGAGAAAAAATTAGAATAAAAATGCAGGTACTCTCATTAAAGAAATAACAGATCAGGCTTTTACTTTGAAAAGCATGACGCAGCCATGTCGGATGCATGCCATGTGCCACATATCCGACTCTGGAGACCTTGACTCTCCAGAGTGAACGACGCTCACGTTCTCATTCATTGGTTACAGATTTACTTGTTCAGTTCAAAGATATGAGCACGTTCAACACGTTCAGGCGCAGCACAGCGCTCTGAAAATAGCACAGGCTGGAGAGACAGATGTGCTGAGTTTATGACACTGTAGAGTTGAAGGGGTCCAGATGATGATTTTAAAATGTGGGTGGGACTCCCGTGGTAGTGATTAGTCAGTGATGATGTTTTCAGGTTTCTGCAGGAGAAGACTTCTGATTGGCTGAGGAGGTTTGAGGGCTCAGGTGTTCCTGTTGGACCAATCAACAACATCCAGGAAGTGTTCTCTGATGCACAGGTCAGTCAGCCAGTAACTACAAACACACAGAAACACACCTGCGTCTCTTCTTTGTCTTGCTCCCTGTCTGCTCTTGTTGCCTCATATACCTCACCCTTATACCTCACTGTTAGGTGGGGGTTGTTTCTGTTTGTATAAATCCAATGAAGAAATCGTGAAACAGACTGGAGATTATAACACCGTTTAATCGGCCGAGGTCAGACAACTTCATCAAACAAGCATGCTTCCAAATCACTTGACTGACAAAGTGCTGACAAAGTAACAGTGTTCACAGTGCTGCTTATATTCTGTCAAAAAGGTGCAACCCCCAAATTCCTTTCCATTTGGGTACATCACCATAAAACAATAAAGATGACATGACACTGATTTGTATACGTAACAACTGTAGACTCTCTGTCTAGCAAACAGTTGCTGACAACATATGCTTGGCTCCTATCCAAACATAGATCTGCTACTACTTAGGTGCTTCACTCATATAAGGTTACAGCTTCAGACACCTAAAGGTAGGAGTGTTAACAGGTGGTAGGCAGACTTGATTAATACATTTCACGAAGTTACAAGATTAATGAATTTCATGAAAATTCGTACTAACACTCACCCTTTCATATTTTTTGTTTATCGTGATGTCGAATTTTGGAGTATCTTCAAACACTTCACATCCTTCAGATCTGCACAACCTACAGTACAATAAAAAAACAAGACTGGCCTTTAATGCACAGAAACCAACACACCTGCCATAGTTCACTCTGGTACTGAAATGTTTTTGTGCAATTTAGTCAATGTGAAGGGGATTATTTGGGTGCAAATTTTGATGGACTCATTCCTCTACATACCTGTTTTATCAAATAGATATTGTAGATTTTTTTTAAGTTTGTGGAATGTTCAATATTCAGTTCAGTTTATTCATCATATGCATTTAAAGGTACAGTGTACAGTACATGCAATGAAATGCAATGAAAGGCCCAGACACCATTTCATCCGTTAAAACCAAATGTAATAAATATAAGAAATGAATGAAAGACAGCCGATCATTACAAGACCGGATTGTGTTGTTTTAAAAACAAGGAATATAAGTATCGTAAGTACAATAATATTTTGACAACCTTACCTCCATGCAGAGATAGACCCCTCTGGACTAGTATTCATTTCCTGTCAGGCTTTTTCATCTGTCATGTGATCAGTTGAGGACTTTACGAGTAAAAGAGGAGACACCTGAATGCATCATTAAACCCAGAGCTGCAGTGTGTGAACGCTTCAATAAGACACAGCTGAGTGTCTGGTTAAAGAATACACCTGCAGTGTGTGTGTGTGTGTGTGTGCGTGTGCGTGTGCGCGTGCGTGTGCGTGTTCTGGCTGCTCATCAAACTGTCCCTCCATATGGATTGAAAACACATGAGTCACAGCTAACACGTTACACAACTCAGCGTGTTACATTAACACACTGCTCCAGGCCCCATCATTGTGTGTGTGTTCTGGGAACAAAGCAACAGGACATATGGTGTGTGTGCGTGTGTGTGCGTGTGTGTGGTGTGTGCGTGTGTGTGTGTGTGTGTGTGTGTGGAAGTTAAATGAATCACGTAGCAATTATCTCTCTCTCTCTCTCTCTAGAATAAAAAACAAACAATCTGATTAGTCGATGAGTTAAGGACCATTCTATTTTCATTTTAGCTCCACCTCCTCCCAGTGACCCCCATTAGTCGTTATCACTGGTTGGCTGTGGCTGATTGGCAAATGCTCTGTTTGATGTGTGTATTTTTGTCAAGATCGCTTACAACCTTCGTCATGATAGTATCAGTTCTGCAGACACGTGTCTATAGAGCTCCACAGTGACCGCCCATTTTTCGCAGCTATGGTTCCTTGAGTAAATTTCCAGATTCAAATCCTTCATTAACAGTTCAAAAAGAATCTTTATATCAGTATTTTAAATCCTGGAATCAAGCCAACCAGCTGGTTCAAAGTTTGCTGCAGCTCAGCTCTCAGCCCCTGAGTCCCCCAACCAAGAGCCTTAATCCCAATGTCCACATAAAGTCGGTGAGTCCTGCCCCACTGGGTCTGCTTCTGGAGTGTGAGCGCTTTAAAGACTGCCGCGGCGCTTGCTGTGGAAACACAATTACTGTTTAGAGTGGCAGCCATGGTGGCGGAGTGTGCGGCGCTGAAGAACCGCTGTGCGCACGAAGTATGTGGAACAGGGTCTGCTTGAGCCACGGTCCATCAGCGCCACATTTTGCTCCAGCCTATGGCTCTCGCCCTACCCCACTGGGTCTGTTTTTGGAGGCCATTGGGGGAGCTTTTATCACAGGTTTCACTCAAGACTCAAAATGTGACTCAGTGACTTAGGATTCTTGTGCATGGTGCTGTGGTATTTATTGAAATAATGAAGATAACATAATAAAGTTGATGAACTGCTCTGTGCTAATGCTAATGTTAGAATGCACATCACTTAAGAGTGTGTAGACAAACATGTGACTCAAGTCCATCCTCTGTGTCTACTGTCTCTGAGGCTAAGACAAGTTTTCTTTGAATGTGTTTGGTGGACAACAGCTCCCATCACCACCTGGCACGGCACTGTCATATAAAAGCTATGACTCAGTGTGCGTGTGTGTGTGTGTGTGTGTGTGTCTGCGTGTGTGTTTGGTTGCGTGTGTCTTGTGTGTGTGACTGTGTGTGTCAGACCAGCCCATCTGCCTCTGTGATCGTGCTGCACCAACTTGTTTTTAACTGAGATTGTACACACCATCCCCTCCGCTCTAACACCCTTGAGTGCTGACTGATAGCAGACACGTTAACACATCTGGTACCATCAGAAAACAGCACCCCCCCCCAAACTTTTGTTGTACTCAGCTAAACTTCCACTCTTAAACCAGACCAGACTGACTGACTTTATTATGTTGTGTTGTTGGAGAAACTTGATTCTGATTGGCTGTAGGGAATCAAATAATTCCTGAGTTCTCGTCGTCATTTGTTACAAATGTAATAATAACAGAAGGCCAGAAAAAATTACAAATGTCTCTGAATGTTGATTTATGGACCTCAACAGAGCATCAGCGCTTCATCAGCATAGAGTGGTAGTGACAATTAACTACCTTACAATTTTGGTGTTTTTTAAAACGTTTTTTTTTTTTAACCTAAAAATTGGGCTGCATCCTATGTACTACAATAAAATGTTGGGAGAGGTTTTTGTAAGGCACTAAAATATATCTCAAGCCTTGTCATGGCATGTGCTGCCTGCTACCACCTGAAGTGATTTGGTGTTTTTTAAAACGTTTTTTTTTTTTACCTAAAAATTGGGCTGCATCCTATGTACTACAATAAAATGTTGGGAGAGGTTTTTGTAAGGCACTAAAATATATCTCAAGCCTTGTCATGGCCATGTGCTGCCTGCTACCACCTGAAGTGATCTAAAAATCTGACTCCCATTCATTGTGCATTGCTTTGTGCACAAAGTGTGATAGGGTACATAACGCGGGCCGTGTGTGTGCTGTGTGATCTTCTGTGTGCATTGCTTTGTGCACAAAGTGTGATAGGGTACATAACGCGGGCCGTGTGTGTGTGTGTGTGTGTGTGTGTGTGTGTGTGTGTGTGTGTGTGTGTGTGTGTGTGTGTGTGTGTGTGTGTGTGTGTGTGTGTGTGTGTGGTGTGTGTGTGTGTGTGTGTGTGTGTGTGTGTGTGTGTGTGTGTGTGTGTGTGTGTGTGGAGCTGAGTTTCCTTCACACAGCAGCTCTGCAGAGAAGCTGCTGCTAATCAGGACAGTAGGAGGTCACGACTGAAAACTGAAATCTGGAAGTCATTACCAAAGAGGCCTCTCTCTCTCTTTCTTTCTCTCTCTCTCTTTCTTTCCCTCAATTTGAGAAGTTTATTTCTGACAAAGCATCAGAGTGTTAAAAGCATTGAAAGTGTCTTACAACAGTGCAGTTGCACTCAGAGACCATCGGTGGGCACCAAATCCCACCAAACTCAATTCGTACTTAATGTTGCTCTAAACTTTGGCGATAGCGCTCAAGACTACAATACCCATAAGTCTAACCTGCTGCCACTGCAGAGACCTAGTAATAAAAATCTTCTGGTTACAACCTAAAAAGACAATTATTAAAATATCATTGTCACTAATAATGTTATTAGTTGATTCAGATGTTTGGCCCCTTCTTCTCTCCAAGTTTCTGCGGTGCATTTGATTTATCCCAGCTGAAGCCTAAACAGCCTCTGAAGTGGATAACTAACATGTAAGATCAGATAAGACAGCCTCTCTTTAGGCTCAAACCACCCACTTCTACCATCATTAGTGCCTTACGCTATACTTAGCCAACAAGGGGAAACATTTATCCAACCTAGTCCCGTTCTCTCAACAACACGGAAAGCTGGACATAACCCTGACATTTGTACAGCCGTGATTTTTCAATCAACTAAAATAACCCAACCGCAGACAACACCAAACTGTGGAGATTTAAAGCCTTGCTGTCAGAGGCCAAACATGGACACAAGTAATTAAACCTGCAACATGTGTAGCTCCTTCAAACAGCACTGCCTTAATTGAGGGAATATAACTACAAACCATGCCAGTAAGGGTGGAACAAAATATCAATATAATCTCCTGAAAATCTTAATTAATTTAAGAACATATTTCTCTTCCAGTTTGACTCACCATGTCACTACTTCTTAACTTGAATGGAAGTTAAATGGCCAAAGAAGAGGAAGAAGAAGAAGAAGACGACGGTGTTTATATCGGACATATTTAATAAGAACTTGAAAGAGGAAGAACAACAAGAGGTGAAACATGCAAAAAAAAATCCATCCATCCCAAGACGTTCCTCTCCCCAGCAAAGTATTTAGCTCCCCCTGGGGGATCCTGAGAGGTTCCCAGGCACTGAGGGTATATAAAAATCCCTCCAGGGCATTGTGGTCTACGCTGAGGACTCCTGGAAAGCCTCCAAAGGCAGATGACCAAGCGGCATCCAAATCAGATGCCCGAACCACCTCTAGTGTCAATTTCCTTTCTAGAGAAT